GTGCTCCCCGGCTTTGCTCCCCGGCTTTGCTCCCCGGCTCCCTGGTCTGCTGGTCTCCAGCAGACCAGGGAGACGCGGAGCAAATCCCGTTCGTAACTGCGGATCCGACATAAGTCGGATCCGCGTAACTCGGGGACTGCCTGTATTATAGTGCTACTGCTTTCTGCACTTTTGATACTTCAAGCTCAAACCTTTTCCACTACAGTTTTACTTCTGGAAATATTTTATTAGAGCAGTAAAGTACTAAAAAGCAGATATATCCCTCTAAGATGGACACAATGGATCTGATTTGCTTCAGTGTGCAGTTTAAACTGTGCACTGCAGCATTATGTGCATGAGTTGGAGGAACAGTGAGGGCTGTAAACAAGATAATTCTTTGACTCAGTTGCTAAGCATTTAAATTATACCAGATGGGTGATCCAGTCCTCCTGCTCCAGTCATGCTAAATTATTTACCCAAAGTGTAACAGCTTCAACTGGAGTGATTGCTGAAGCCTCTCATCAGGATATTCTACAGTGGCCTAATGGTTAAAGAACTTACCTGACAATTGGCAAACCTAGCTCAAATCCTCCCTGCCCCCCACCTCAGCTGGTGTGTGACTCAAACCAGGGGTCTCTCATATCCTAGGTGAGGACCTTGACCACTAGACTAAAAATTATGAGGGAATCTTCTCCTCCCCAGTTACTTTGTGTGAACTCACCTAAGGGGCCCAATCCAGCAGGTGGCTTCTCAAACATGAACTGGATTGGACTCCATATGTGACTTAAGTGGCCAAACACTTACCCTCTCCTGGTGTGTGAATCACTTTTAGATGTAGGCAAGGAGATAGGTGCCTGAATACCTAGTGGGAGGAAGCAGTGCATATGCTTAAAGGCAGAAATATAGGTGCCTGGGGAACTTTTGCTGCAAAAACTTAGGCACCAAATGTGTTTAGGGGGCTTTAGGGCTTGGCAGGTGGTTTTCTGCATCACAGAGGTGCCAAAACTTGGACTCAGACACCTAAAACAGAGAATTAGGCACCTAACTCCTTTTGTGATTTCCAGATCTAAGTGATTTCCTTTTGTGATTTTGTGATTTCCAGATCTAAGTAATTTCACAGTTACTGCAGGTACAGTAAAACATATGGCTATTTAGTGGTTTGTATAAAAGGCCTGATGAAAAAATCAGCCTCTGCAGAATGTTGTCAGAGAGGCCATCACTGCTATGCACCAATTGTCTTGTGTCCCTGCCAAAGCAGACATGAGTTGGAATGTTACATTATTATGTATTGCTGTTTTTTAAGGTAAACAACTATTGATGGCACAAGATAACTAGGTTCAGACTTAGGTCTATAAAGCAGGTTCCTGTAAGAGCAAACATTACATCATTTGTCCTGTCTTCTGGACTATTTGCTTGCTGCACATTTAAGAAACTGAACCCCTCAGATTCAGAGCCTCAGAAAAACAGTAGGCAGCAAGACTTTGCTGATTATATAATGCACTGAGGGCACATTTATACTATAAAGAAGATCAATACTGCCACAGCCCATCTTCTGGGTTCGATTTAGTGGGTGTTAGTATAGACCCGCTAAATCAAATTCAAAGGGTGTACCTGTTGGTGCCAGTACTCCTGCTCCTCATAAGGAGTAAGGGAAGATTATCCTCCTGCTGTGTGGATAACATCAAAATGCAATGTAAGATATGTCGACTCCAGCTTCGTAATTTTTTTCAACCTTCCCATGTAGTATAGACCAGGCCTCAGTAGCAATACCATAATGTCAGGAAATCTTGATCTAGGCAATGCTGTTATTTTGATGCACTTCATAATACAGCTACTGTAAAATGTTGGACTCTTTCACCTAGCTCCATTAAAGTGAATTGTTAAACAATACTCTGAACTCTCAAAAGCATTCTTGCAGAGAAATCATCCTGGGGCTTGAAGAAATTATCACTTATATTATCACTTTGACACCCACATTCATATGTAATGAATCTCTCAAGAGTAGTAATATTGCAATAAGTATTAAAGTAGTATTGATTATGCCCTATGTTAAGAGTTATAGTATTTATGAATTAATAGCATGACGTTATTCTTATTATAACTTTTTAGTACATTAAACTATTTACCATTTACTTTTTTTAGAAATAAAGAAAAATAGTAATATAATGATAAAGTATCATCCTAAATTCTGGACAGAAGGAATTTATCAATGTTGCAGACAAACAGAAAAATTAGCACCTGGCTGTGAAAAATACAATCTTTTTGAAAATAGTAAGTATATGTTTTTTCCTATATCATTACTTTAGCCTGATTTTTGACTATCTGTTTATATGATCCTTACTATCATGGTATCTGAGCACCTTCCTTATTAAACAAAGCTAATGAATCATGGGAAAAGTGTTGCCAAAAAAGCTAGTATTATTCCGGGAGGTATTAGCAGTATTGTAAGAAAGACAAACAACGTTTGCTTTACTTCACGATGATTAGGCTTCAGCTGGAGTAATGTGCTCAGTTCTGGATGCCACATTTCAGGAATTATGTGGACAAAGTCCATTTTAATTGGAGAAAGTCTAGAGAAGAGTAATAAAAATTATTAAAGATCTAAAAAACATGACTCGTGAAGGAAGATTGAAAAAACTGGGTTTGTTTAGTTTTAAGAACACTGAGAGGGAACATGCTAACAGTTTAAGTGTATAAAAGTTTGTTAGAAGAAGAAAAGAGAAAAATGGTTCTCCTTAACTTCTGAGTATAAGACTTACATTAAATTGCAGCAAGCGTGGTTTAGGTTGGACAGAATTTCCTGTCAGTGGCCAAGCACTGGAATAAACTGGCTAGGGAAGTTGTGGAATCTGCATCACTGGCGATTTAAGAGCAGATTAGACAAGCACCTGTTAGGGATGGTCTAGATCAGAAATGAGCAATGACCGGCCCACAGGCTGGATGCGGTTTGTCAGGGTAGATGATGGTGGACCACCACATGCTTTCTTTATTTGAGTATTTGCAGGGATAGCAATTTTCAGCTACCAGTGGCCACAGTTCACTGTTTTCAGCCAGTGGGAGTTGTGGGAAATGGCGTCATTAACTGCATCAGGCCTGCAGGCCGGTTATTGCTCACCCCAGGTCTAAATAATACTTATTCCTATCATGAGTGGAGGGGCGACTGGACTAGATTACAGCTCTATAAGCCTGATATTTTATAATTTATACCAATGTAAATGAAGAAGAACAATGTCGTAAACAGTATAATTATACCAGTATAAAAATGATAGAAGAGGAGAATCAGGGCCAATATATATAGGGAAATAGGACAAACTTCCGTAACATCCCACAACTTCCACTGGCTGAAAACAGTGAACTGTGGCCACTGGTAGCTGAAAATTGCTATCCCTGAAGATACTCAAATAAAGAAAGCTTGTGGTGGTCCACCATCATCTACCCTGACAAACCGCATCCAGCCTGTGGGCCGGTCATTGCTCATTTCTGATCTAGACCATCCCTAACAGGTGCTTGTCTAATCTGCTCTTAAATCGCCAGTGATGCAGATTCCACAACTTCCCTCTTTTTGTTTTCTATCAGTTAAAAGTTTGTACGATGTGGAAGGGCTGGTTAAAATGTTAAAAATCTTGTCTGAATTTTACATTTTTGTTTATCAGTCTATTTATAAATTTAACATAGTTCCTTCTACTGCATTGCTTTTAGGCATAAGGAAATCACCTTCTCCAATATCAGATACAAATAAGGTAGGTGGAATCTTCAGAATGTTGAATAGTTCACTGCAATTGACTGAGAATGGTTTTGCATATAGTAATTAGGTTCATTATATGTTTCTTTCAAGGATTAGGGACCAATTTTGCAAACATTATCAGGCATAGAGTCTGATCCAACTTGAATGGACATCAGTGGGCTTTCCATTAATTGCACTGGGATTTAGATTGGCCCGTAGGGATTATTATTTTGAATAGCTCTATTGACTTGAATTAGATTACCTGCCATAGTAGGCATTATGGCTGGGGAAAAGAATTGACTTGAATTAGATTACCTGCCATAGTAGGCATTATGGCTGGTGATAAGTTTTAATAGAATTGGGCCTTTTTATTTACAAAAATAAGCCAGCATATCAATGTTCAAGTAAATTTGCCTAAACTGTTCAATACTGTAAATGTAAAGAGAAGCCTATGTTATAACAGACATCAAGATATTTAGCTGTCTGTTAATAACTAGGAAGTTGAGCACTTTATTGTTTCTTTAGGCCAAGTTTATTGTGCATACCAAGGGCTCCTTGCACCCCTCATTCTCACCTGTACAAGCTCCCTGTGTGCCAGCCACCTATACCTCCTCTTTCAGGGAATCACTGCAATCTTCTATCCCTTCCCTCATGCCAGGGACTATGCATGATCCTCCCACCCATTTCTCCTTGTACAGAGCTTCTGTGTGCCATCCATTCCCCTCCCCACCCCCCCTTGGAGTTCTGTGTGTATCCCATCCCCACTATACCAGGGTCCTTCATTCTCACCGCTCCCCCCGCCCCCCATGCCAGGGGCTTGATGTGCATCCCTTTCTCTCTGCCAGGGTCCTTCAGTCTTTCCCTGTCCAGCACTCAGTATCGCCCATTCTCCCCCTTCTTAACCCAGGGTCCTGTATTCTCCTCTTCTGTCTTGCCTCCATATTTTTTTTCTCTCATGCCAGGAGCTCTTTATGCTCCCTCTTGCATCATGCCCTTACATTCCCCACATGATAGGGGTTGTGGGCCCACCTTTCCTTCCCCAAATGCCAGGATGTCCCCTAATCCCTCTTTCGACCATCACCATTATTTTTTCTCTTAGGTCTATCCAGAAGATGAGTCACTCTGGGCATGACTACACAGCAGCATTATTTCATTACTGACCTTATTCCAAAATAACAAAGAGTGCATCTACACTACAAGCCTTTATTTTGAAATAATGGCAAGCTGGAGGACTTCTTACTCCAACTCCTGTAACCCTCATTTTATGAGGAATAAGGAAAGTTGAAGGAAGAGTGCTCTTCCTTTGACTTCCTGCTGTGTAGATAGTTCCAAAAGCTGAGTTAAGCTATTTCGACTTAAACTATGCAATTGGTGTAGCTGAAGTTGCATAGTTGAATTCTACTTTAGCCCTGCTGTGTAGATGTACCCTATGGGACATGGGGTGGCAACTGGTTAAACTGTAGTAGGAGGATAAGCAGAACTGAGATAGGCATATTGCTATGCAAAGAGATATTTAATGGGTGACATAGACCATAGAGTTGCAGAGGCACTTGAAGCTTTGACTATACTCAAGAGATGGCATGTCTCCCATTTTCCCTCTTCAAATTTTCCAGTTTTCCCTCAAACCAGCAGGGCTCTGCTCATAATGTTTCCCTGACATTTTGGAATTGATTAGCTATGGCATTCAAAAGTTGTGAAGTTACACCCAACTGCCTTCACATTGAGTGTAGGGCTTTGCAAACTCAGCTAATTAGTTGTTGAATGAGCTCAGAATTAGCCCGGCCTTTGTCTTTCATGTCTCAGAGTGTTTTGCTTTGCCTAAATGAAAAACTAATAATTTTATCTCATTTTCAGCGAAGGCCTCCACCACCTCTTCCCCCACCTGAGGAAAACGAGGAGGAAGATGAGGAAATAGTAGTAGCAATGTATGATTTTCAACCTACAGAGTCTCATGATTTGAGACTAGAGAGAGGTGAAGAGTATACAATAATAGAAAAAAATGACATTCACTGGTGGAAAGCAAGAGATAAATATGGGTAAGACACATATCCATCCCTTCTGTGCCCATTATGGTATTGAGTAAGATTATTCACTTATTTCAGTTATTCATATTGATTATGCCTATTAAATAACAAGAATAAAGTACCTAAAAGCCAAAAATGCTTAGCTGACCAGATCTGATTTTGGGCCCCAGTCCTACACTTTGATCCATGTTCATGGGGCTGTGCTCAAACCAGGTTTGTGCGTGTGTTTAAATTTCCTGTGATATTTCAGATTTTTTTAAAACTAAAATGTACTTAGTTTTAATATTTATAGAAATTAAACAAACAAGCTCCACATACCTCTTCCCATTTATTTTAAAGATGTTTTAGACATCTCACATTGTTTTAATGATACTCTTCTTGCTTCAACATTTATCACCTCCATGTTGAAAATTGTTCATGGTAATTTTGAGTTAGTTAAAGATAGTAGGGTTGTTGTGGCAATATATTTTTGGGGAACAGAAGGCACCTCGTCTCAACCAAAAATCTCAGTCAGAGCATATCCCCATGGATGGAGGTAAGATTGCTGAAGCAAAAAGCTGGCATGGAAGCCCAGGGCTTCTAATTTTGTCTTCTCCTGCCTGTTGCTTTTCCTACAGGAGAAGTGCGTTGACTCAGTATTTAACCTTTATCTTCTGCATACAATGCCGCTTCGTCAGATGCAGGGATGATGAGGTAGAATAAAAAAAACCCATGGCTCTATATATTAGGGGAGAGGAACCTTTTTTGGGTTGGGGGTCACTGACCCACAGAAAAATCAGTCAGGACCACACACCAGTGAGAAGCAAAACAAAGAAAAAACCTACCAAAACCTCACTGACATGGCCCCTGACTAAGAAGGAGAAAGATACTCCACATTTCCCTCCAAACAAGAGCTTATAAGGGCCCAGGCTAGTAGATTTTGTATGCTCCAGCCCAGTGGTAGGGTGGGGGAAGAAGGGGTGGAATGCCATCATGGGCTCCCTAATGCTGGAGGGAAGCCCTGAGCCTTGGGACCAGATCCAGGCAAACCAGGGGCTGCATCCAGCCTCTGCAGTCTGAGGTTTCCCTGCGATATATAATGAGAATCAGAACTGGTCAATGATTAGGTAAAAGAGTGCTGGTGACCCTTACGAATTAACAGTGTGAAGAACTGTGTTTTAAGCACACATGCTGTATCCTGTTATCTAGCCTATATCATTATTAAGGCTTATGGCACAATGTTTCTCTTACTCTTTTTAGAAATACAGGATATATTCCAAGCAACTATGTAACAGGAAAGAAGTCCAACAATCTTGATCAGTATGAGTAAGTGAATATTAGCATAAAAGTGGGGAAGAGGATAAAATAAACTTTAAACTTGAGCAATTTCAAATACATATATATTAAAATAAAACTGCACAAGTGTATAGATTATGCAAATAAGATCACAGGTAAAACTTTTTAAAAGATTTGAAATACAGGCAGTCCCCGACTTAGGCGGATCCGACTTAGTCAGATCCGCACTTACGAACGGGGTTTCTCGCCCCGGAGCTCACAGGCAGCGGTCAGCCACCTCGAGCTTCGGGGCGAGAAAAGCTGCTCCCGGTGCCCCTGGTCTGCTGGGGACCGTCTCCAGCAAACCAGGGGCACCGGGAGCAATGCGGTCCCTCGCCAGAGCAAAGCCTCAGAGGCGAGGCACCCCCCCCGCTGCCGCTTTGCTCCCTGTGTCCCTGGTCTGCTGGGGGGGGCGCAGCTAGTGTGCCCCCCCCCAGCAGACCAGGCTTTTGTTGTGGACCCTGGGGCAGAGCAGCGGGGGCGCTGCCGGTTGGTCCTGCAGCGCCGCTCTGGGCACTACTGGACCAACCCAGCAGCACCCCAACTGCTCTGCTCCAGGTGTCCTGATTCAGCCGCTGCTGGTCAGTTTCAGCAGCGGCTGAATCAGGACTCCTGGGGCAGAGTAGCTGGGGTGCTGCT